TGATTACGTAACTCGCATTACTTGTAATGCGTTACCCACAACACTTATAATACATAACATATATATATATATATCTATCAATTATGTACATACACATTAATATATTAATTATTAATATACAATTTTTGTATTGTATTGTATTGTACCTTTTGTATTGTTTTTCTATTTATATTTTAGATTTAATTATATAAATATATATAATTTTTATTTATATAATTTCATAACATAAGACTCAAATATCTGTTGAATGCGCATAATGCGTTTGTCAAATTGTCAGTCAGGCACAGGTAGCAGCTGAATTTATAAAGAGATGCGTGTTCACAATGTTTATGATAAAGCGTGTGACTGTCAAAGCAGCTAATGTAGAAAACACAAGCTGACACTCAATGTCAACGTGTCCCCTCAGCATCAGAGGAAAGAGAAGACGCGAAAAGAAATTGGGAAGAAAGAGTCTTTCTGCTCTCAAAACATCACTTCAAAGCCATTCACACGCTGCTGTATTCTGTCATTTTGCCCCAGTGTTTGCCTTTTGAGCTTTTTCAGTTTTTACCCTTCTGTTGACATATACACATGCACAAAGACATTTTCAACAAATATGGTATGCCCACAGGACATACCATAGGTTGCTAGTTTTTATATAAAACTGATTATAATTACAACCGATTAACTCTAACCCAACCCTAAAAAATAACTTCTTGCATTAGTTAGTTATTTTATTTATTTATTTCATTTTGGTTTTTTGTATACATTTTAGTTAGTTAGTTATTTAGTTGGAGATGTCAAACTCACATAATAATATGACTATTATTCTGTTTACTTTTGTGCTGTAGTCACTAGTCTATCAGTATTTAGCATGCATCGCAAGAGGAGTGTTTACTCACCTCCTGATACACACATCTGACTCGAGACAGTTAAACTGTGACCTTTTGTTTTATTCTCCACACCCTGTTGCAACGTTTCATTACAAAGACAAACAGAAGCGCATCTCAGCAGATTAATGCAATCTCAAGTACAAACAGCTCTTCGGTGAAATTACTCCACACACACTTTTCTCTTTCTCTCTCCACAAAATGATTTATTTGTCTCTTGCTGTTCCCAAATTTCATATGCTTTGTACCTCATACTTTTCTACTCTATTTTCTATTTCATATT